GCCCAGTGCTCTCCAACCTCAGCCAGCGACCCGCGGCGAGGGCCTTCCTGCTGGACCGGGACAGGTGCGCCCCAGGCGGCCCGCGGGGAGGGGAGTGAGCAGGGACAGTACTGAGTGGCTCCTCCCTTCAGGTGCGTGGTCCAGCGGCTGCTGCCCCTCACCCAGTACCCGGACTCCACAGTGCGCAGGGGCGGGGTCGTGGGGACGCTGCGAAACTGCTGCTTCGAGCACCGTGAGTGATTGGGGGCGGGGGCGTTGCGATTGGGGGGCAATGGAGGGGGAGACTGAATTCTAGGGCCCCTCTAGACTGGAGTGGCCCCCATCCCCGTCTCTTACCCCCTCCAGGACACCACGAATGGTTGCTGGGGCCCGAGGTGGACATTCTCCCCTTCTTGCTACTGCCCCTGGCTGGGCCTGAGGACTTCTCTGAGGAGGAGATGGAGCGTGAGTGGCTTAGGTGGAGCCTCAGGCTTGGCTTAGCAGGAGCGGAGGACAGGAGTGGGAGGGGGAGGGATTGTCCCCATCAGGGCCCCTTCTGAAACCTCCTAGCGAGAGTGGCTGAGCACAGATGGGGCTGACAAAGGTGGGGTCTGGCCCGGTGGCCCAGCACAGGGACCCAAGGACTCCCACATCCACCCCTAGGGCTGCCCGTGGACCTGCAGTACCTGCCACCAGACAAGCAGCGGGAGCCTGACGCTGACATCCGGAAGATGCTCATTGAGGCCATCATGCTGGTGAGCAGGGGTCCCGCTGCAGGAACCCCACCCCCCAACATATACGCTGACATCTAACTAACGTCAGCTCTCTCTCAGCTGACGGCCACAGCACCTGGTCGGCAGCAGGTGAGGGACCAGGGAGCCTACCTGATTCTCCGAGAGCTGCACAACTGGGAGCCTGAGTCTGATGTGCGGGGGACTTGTGAGAAACTCATCCAGGTGGGTGCGGGGTTTGGGGGGAGGAGGGGGATGGGGGCGTGCCCACGGTGTGCCAGCGCCTGCTCACCTGCCTCCGCTGCTGCAGGTGCTTATTGGGGATGAGCCGGAGCGTGGCATGGAAAACCTGCTGGAAGTGCAGGTGCCTGAGGATGTGGAGCGGCAGCTGCAGGAGCTGGACCGCCAGGAGCAGGAGCAGTGCCTGCGGGAGCAGCAGGAGCGGGAGCTATCTCCAGAGCCACAGGCGGAGGGGGCTGCACCCACCTGAGGCACCTGCACAGACCACCGCCAGCTCCAGGCCCACCTTGACGAGCCCACCCGTCCTGGCCTCCCAGATCAGGCCTTCCTGCAGCTGCCTGCAGGCCTCTGGGTCACCTTGCTCCGAGGCTGTGCCCTACTGAGAAGCAGAGCTACGCTGAAGCTCTGGGTTCATGCTGAGGGCTCTCGGGCTAATGCCCCTGAAACATTGGAGGGTTGCGGGCACCTCCCTGTGCCCTGTTGCTTGAGCAAAAATGCAGCTGGTGCCTGGCCAGCGTGGTTCAGTGGTTGAGCATTGACCTATGAACCAGGAGTCACGGTTTGATTCCCGGTCAGGTCAGGGCACACTGAGCCGGGTTGCAGGCTCCATCCCCAGCATGGGGCGTGCAGGAGGCAGCCGATCATAGTTCTCTCTCATCGCTGATGTTTCTCTCTCTCTCTCTCCCTTCCTCTCTGAAATCAATAAATATATATATATTTTTAAATGCAACTTGTTCAGAGGAGCTGGCCAGGTCCTGTGGCTCTCAGGTGCCTCCGCTGGGATAGCCTGGGGAGCCATGCCCGTCCTCCAGAGCTGGGGGCGCAGGGGGGAGGGCTGGACATTGCAAGCCTGAGAGGCCAGCTGGCTCTTTCGTCCCAGGGTTCCACATGGCCGAGGCAGCCACCAGGTGTGAGCAGTGCCCCTTCCTGCCAGTCCCACCCAAGTCCCTCCACCTGGGCCCTCTGCTGACCCTCAGCCTCCATGGCCTGACCTGAGACCTTCACCAGCTGCAGCCTGTCCCTGGGCTCTCCTAGAGCTGCACCCCGCCCCCCCCCCAGCTTGTCCTGGGAGCACTAGCGGGGTGCTGCCTCCCCTTCATCCTCCACCTTTCCACTTGACCCAGACCCTATTCTTCCCGCAGCCCCTTGCCAGCACAAGACCTACCTCCCCGCCCCCCCGCCATGGGTGGTCCCCCTACTCTGCGTCCTCCGAGTAGTCACCCAGGCTGTCCCTGGAGGCTCTCTGTGGCCCTCACCCCTCTACATGCCCTTCCTGGGCCTCTCGCCAAGTTTACTGCCATCTTCTGCATAGGACCCAAGTACTGCCCTCCAGGCCAGGACGCCCTGGTGCTGTGGCCCAGCAAGGCTCCCCAGGGGTCCCCAGCACTGCCACCCCTCGCGCCCTCTGTCTCCTGCTGTGTCAGCCCCTGGAGGCGGCGCTCAGGTGCTCACGGTGCCTGGTGTCTCCCCGCGCGCGCGGTCCCTCCCACGCTCCTTCCCCGTTGAAGCTCTGGCACGTGGGCGCGTGGACGCCTTCTCCCTGGTTAAGGAGGCTCCCCAGTTCCCCGGCCACTGGTTCACACCTCGGCTCCACAGAATAAACGGTTTATGTGGCCTCCACCCTGTCCACCCACTGCCCTCGGCTGACCAGGCGGTGCCCCGGCGCGCTCCTGAGGGCGCTCGGGGAGCACAGCGGAGGGGGCCCATGGCGAAGGGGGCT